ATGAGACCCGACATTTTCGTGATCGTGGTGTTCTCGCGCCGACAACCGGCTTCGATTCAACTGATCCGCGATCTGTTTCTCTAATCGTTCCTTTCATTTGGTTTGTTTTTCGACGAGGTGTAATAATGCAGGAGCACAAGTCGTTTCTCATAAGGGATCTTCTGGGGGATGTTTTGTCCGAGAGGGTGCACGGTGAGTTTTTATGTATAGTATACTCGTTTAAATAAAGCACGAAGTTGAAAAGTAGTGAAATTTTGAATCTGGAGTAATTTTTGTGTAATAAATCGAATATAGATAAATGTGCTCCAATTCGAACGATTTTGAACAATATTTTCGAGGAAACTTTGAAATAGATGAGTCAATGACAGGTTTTCGCTTCTTTCCAAAGAATCGAAGAGAAACGTACAAGTATTTTCACACGAACGATGAAATCAGATATAATTTTTCATCAAAATAATCATACTTTTTATACGAAAATTATTCTTCACCCGACTCGTGCTATCTTATCATTGAATTTTTCATTGAAATAATACTTTTTATACGAAAATTATTCTTCACCCGTGCTATCTTAACATTGAAAATCAATATCAACCAAATAATCGTCTCATTATCTTAATTTTATTTTCTTTTTAAAAAAATTCAACTTATCGATGTTCATCTCTCTCCACTAAACTTCTTAAGAAAACAATTGGAAGAAAATCATATATATACGCGTGTTAACTCGAATCGCAGAGAATCGGCTCGAGCACGAATAATTAAAAAATCAAGATTTTCATTGCACATGACAGCGGTCGCGTGGCCTATCGCCAGGCTCCTCGTTACGCGCCCCCCCGCAGAGCGGCTCCATTATTTTTAGCCAAGATTCGCAGCCCTAAGGGTGTCCAGGGTCCCGGCCGGGTGGTGCCCCATTAACGACGATCCTACAGATGGCCTACAGAGCTGCGGAAGGATTCGTTAGCTCTCGTTAGTCCGAATTTTCGTCCTGCATCCCGCTGCGACGCGCCTTTATTGGCCAATCGAGATCAGACACCGAGATCGTTCCCCTAATTGAGATCGTTTAAAGCGTGGGCGATCAAACCGATCAACAGTGGATTTCCCAGCATTGTTCGGATAATCAACTTTGAATCTGTTTATTTTCTTTCTTCGCCCAACAACTGTCGCCCCATCGATTCGAATGCTGAATATTGCGTTTCTAGAAGATTCCGAGGACGATTCGGCCGTTCATTCGGACTCTGAGGACACGATCGACCCTGGAAGTAGCCCGTGCACCAGATTGGAAAGTCCTCCGCCAGCGCTCTCGCCATCTCCGGCGGCAGCGACGTCCGGCAAGTCCTGCGGAACGAGCAGCGGCCCTCCAAGCGGCAGGAAGCCCAGAAGAAGGCGGACTGCGTTCACCCATGCTCAACTCGCTTACCTCGAGAGAAAATTTCGCTGTCAGAAATATCTGAGCGTGGCAGATCGAAGCGACGTGGCCGACGCCTTGTCGCTCTCCGAGACCCAAGTCAAAACGTGGTACCAGAACAGAAGGTAAATATATTACAAAACCTAAGTAAATAAATCGTTCTAATGTTCGAGAATATCTTAAAACCATCTAAAAAGTGTAATTCGTATATAAGCGCTCCTTTCGACGAACAAAATTCGGATAATTGAGTAATCAAATAAAATAATAAAATAATCAAATATCCAGTGGATTTTTAAGTAGAACAAAAGTTAAAATGAACATCTTTTCAAGAGCTTATACATTCATAATTCGACACTCGTCTTATCTCTCTGTGCTCTTCGCGAATTAAAATCTTTGCATATTTTCCCATTTTCACCATTAATCTTCAAATGGGAAACTGTTTCCCGCCACAGAACAAAATGGAAGCGGCAGAACCAACTGCGGCTGGAGCAGCTTCGGCATCAAGCGACGGTGGAGAAGGAGTTGCTCGTACGAGGCGTGGGCCTTCACCACGGCAGCATAGACGCCTACTGTCCACC